CCGCCCTCTCCAGAAAGTGTACTTAAGCTCTGCTTGACCTCTGCTCTGGGCTCTGGGCTGCTCTCCCTTCCTGAGTGAGCCTTGAGCCCCAGCATGCTTGTTCAATAAACTCCATCCTGCCAATTGCATGAAGCCAGTCTCTTGTGTGGTCTCTTTCTCCGACGCTTCGCCGGACCCTTACACACCCTTTAAGAGCCCTCCTTGTGGAGACTTTCACCTCTGTCCATTGTCTTGAACTTCTTATCTCATACCAAGTTGGCTCCACCTCATTTCCAGTCCTCATCTGCCCATGAGTCTAGGCTTCTCTGACACCCTGATCTTCCTCTTTAAATCCTACAGTCTGCCTTCTAAGTTTGGGGATGGGGCTTAATCAGGATCTGCATTGCCACGCCACTGTACCTCTGCCCAGGTCTGTGGCTTTCTCCTGGTTGCGACAGCAGCTTCCTGGCTGCCTGCCTCCTACCCCTGTCCCCAGCATCCCCTCCCCTCTGGTATTCTGCAGTCTTGGGCACTCAGACTTGAGACTTAGGTGTCTAGAGCATCTGGCTGGGTGTGTGTGGCACCTTCCAATTAAGTGCTTCTCGGCTATTTATCCCAATTGAGTACAGCAGGCATATCTTGAGATTTTTTTTTTTTTTTTTGTATTGGGGATTGAGCCCAGGGGCACTTAACCACTGATCTCTTTGAATCTCAGTTTCCTTGGGTTTGAGTGTCTTGCTAGGACTTGGGTTTGAGTGTCTTCCAAGTCACATTTCCAGCCCTTTTCTGTATTTTATTTAGATGTAGGGTGTCACTGAATTGCTTAGTGCCCACTGTTGCTGAGGCTAGCTTTCAACTCTCATCCTCCTGTCTTCTGAGCCGCTGGGATTACAGGTGTGTGCCACCTCGCCCGTTTCACATTTCTCCTTTTCCAGCTTGCTTTGGAGAGCTCTGCAAACGGGGTGGCAAGGTGAGGGGAAAAAGAAGGGCCGTGCTCTTTCCTGTTTGCTTCCTGTTACCAGCAGAACCACGGGGATCAATGGCAGCAGCTGGCTTGGCAACGGCTTTGGTTTCTTGCAGTTCTCAGTCCCAGCAGCACCTGCATCTCCTCTGCGGGTCCCTCCTGTCAGTCTGCACTCAGCTCCAGCTCTCTCCACTGCTCTGTCCTGGGAGTAGACTGCACTCTGCAGTCCCCACGGCTGAAGCACCTCAGTGCTCCTGGTCCTCAGCTGCCAGGTCTGTTTCCCAAATGGACCCAAATGGAGGCACCTGCCTTCCGCAATCCCTAGTCTGCAAGCATCTCGTCTCCCTACTTGCAGGCCCTGTGTGGGAAAGGGTTCCTCCAACTGTGCCAAAATACTCAATAGTAAGCTTTATATTCCTAAACCCCCAAAGTAAATAAAGGACCCCCACATGACCTCAGTGACAGACTTCCCCCCCATGCTGACTCATCTTCTTCCTGTGGAGAAATGGGCCCAGGTCGCTTCTCTTCCAGGGGCACATTTCCTTTAAAAACCTTCGCATACTCCTCCCATGTCCTTCCAGCTCTCTGGTAGGCAGCCCATCTGTCCCCACCTTCTGTTCCTCAGCACTCTCCTGGGCTTTTCAGATTTAGCGAAAGGACAGGGAGGAGGAAGAAGACCCAGAGCCCCTCAGGCAGTTTTAACAGCAGGAGAAATGAGGACAGGCACAGTGAGCCATCTTCTGAGACCAGCTTGAGAATTGGGGGAAGGGGCAGGGAAGCCGGAGTGGCAATGACAGAGAACATGGCCAAGGGCCAAGGCAGGGCATTTGTTTCATATCTTTATTGACAAAAAAAAAAAAAAAGTCACAGCATTTCAAACACGTGAGTAGTAACAAAGGGCACCCACAAGTGACAGGCATGGTCTGAAAGGTCCAGACGTCCAGACGAAAGGCCATGCTGGAGGGTGTGGGTGTCCCTTGGGCCCTATTCCCTCTCAGCCTCTCTACTGCTTCCCAGTCTTGCTGACACCCAAGCACAGTGTGACTATGCAGAAATGAAGTCACTTCTCGGGAGGCTGGGTGCCTTGCGGCCCAGCACGTGGGGAGGGTGGTGCTCCGGGGCCCAGCCAGCAGCATCTCAGCCGAGACCCAGGGCAGAGATAAAGGCAGAGATGCTCCCCACTTGGCAGTCTTGGCACAGCAGAAAGTGTGGGTCTCTGGTCATGTGACACCACCAAACCTACAGGCTGGCTGCTCTCTGCAGGGACCAGCAAGACTTCCAGGGAGAAGGCTTACAAGCAAGAACAGTGGCAGGGTTCATAAAGGGTTTGGGAAAATACTTCCCAGGAGCCATGAGAAATGAGCCATCTTCAGATTCCTGGAGCACGGGAACAGTTAAACTGACTAGGCTGCGATGAGGAAGGAAAAGTTTAATACCAGCCCCCAAAGACAGCAGAAATGCCACTTGTCTGTGGCCCAGAGCACTGGGCCTAACACTCAAAAGCAGCTGTGGTACTCTACAAGGTTAAATGAAGATATCAGAGCACTCGCGAGGTACCTGCTCAAAATCTGCCCCCCAGCCTTCTGGCTGACAAAGCTGGGGTGGGGCCAGAGGCACTGGGACCTACCCCCAAGTATAAGCAACATAGTCCCAAACACTGCTGCTCCTCCCAGGCGGTCTGACATCACTTAACTCCATTTGGACGAAGGCTTCTCTTCTGGGGTCTTCTGTCCTACGCTGAACAGAACATCTCTACTTGTCTTTGACTACACCCAAATCTTTTGTTTTCCTGAAAGGTGTGATAGGGTGGGTGCCTGTGGCCCTTTGGAAGAAGGGGTGTCTACTCCTCCTGTAGGAAGTTCACCTAACACATTACAGCTATGAGAACACCAAGCACAGACAGACTTCTGAGGCGCCAACATGTACATTTACACTGTGTTGACGCAGGTGCAGAAGGAGCCCTGTATGCACATTTCTACACTATTCTACAGAGAAGGAAAAAGTGAGACTCCTGAAAAAAGCTAAACCATCTGGGCATGGTCAGGCCACAAGGTCAATAGGCACTGGACTAGAGTCTAGTCCCTCCAGAAATCACTAACCTTGAGCCCCTGGCAAGGAGCTGAACTGTGGAGCAGAGAGAACCTCAATGGTACACCCTCCTCTTCAACCATGTGCCTGCTGAAAGCTGTCTAGGGAAAATAAAGGCTTCCCTAGCCCCTCTGCCTCCCCGACTACTCATGGACACTTGAATTACAAGTTGCAATTACAAGTTCTGTGGTCACAGCCTAAAGAGGCCTCTGTGGCATGCTGGTCAGAAAAGTACTCTATTCTCACCAATGTGGCAGTCCCCAGGAAGGAGCAGTGGTGGGGACAGAGACACAAGAAGTCTGCAGACTGCCCACCAAAGTGCACACATTGCTGGGGATGGTGTGGAGTCACTACAATGCTGTGGGGCAGGTTTGCCAAGGTTAGACGACACCAAGGAGAGACAAAATATCGCACGTTTGGTCAGGGCATTTTCAAGACACAAATCACAGAAACAACACTTTTAGGTACGACATGACACATTTGGCAACTTCAAAACAGATAGTCTTCCCCACCCCAAGCCATCAAAGGATCCTCAAAGTCCTTTATCTTTGGTCCAGATTAAAAAGCCAGGGAAGATGGGGTCAATGGGTCTAAGAGGAGGCTGCAGAAGCAGCCATACCAACCACTGGCACTCCCCTGACTTGGTGCAGGATGCCACCTGCCTCAAACCTCTTCCTGAGGAGAGGCTGGTCACACTGAGCCCAGCTGCTGGAGACTAATCAGACAAAGCCACTTGTGGGAAAGCAGGAACCGCCACCCTCCCAAGACAGAGGACACCCCAGCGTCTCCTGCCTGAGAGGCTCTGCTCACGAGAATGTGGGTCCTCTGGTGATTCCATCCTGTGTCAGAACCTCAATTTGACACACTGAAGCTAGAACCCTCTGCATCTGCTACAAATCTTGGAGGGTGCCCAGTAGGGGGAAAGAGTGGCACACGCAGGTGAGACCAGGGCACGGCTTGAGACAGTCTTCCTTTGTCTGCTCCAGCTTCCCTGATGGCTAGGCTGTTTCCAAGGAGCTAGGCCTTCCTCCTTCTTCCTTCCCCCAGATCCCCAAAGGCTCCATTTGGAGACCCAGCATGCTGCTGTTGTAAAGATCTGTCACAACACTGGCTATAAGAACAAAAGCAGGTTCTGAAAAGGGGATCTGCAGCCAGAGGTGCGTCTGTCTGGAGTCCCAAGGGTGGGTGGGGTTCCTTTGGTTTTAACCAGGACACTTCTTCACTGGGGCAGGCTCAGCTTTGCTTTGCAGTAGCTCGGTTATCATACAGGTGTAGACTTAACTGCATGGAGCTATTTTGCTGAATTGCCCTCTTGCCTTTCCGGATTCTGAAATTTTGGATTCTCAGCTTACATCCGAGATCCTCTCTCCTGAAGAATCTGAAAGTGGAAAATGGGGGAAAAGGTTGAGGTGCTGAGGAGATGACAAAGGGAAGGAAAGACCTACAGAAGCCTGGGTGTGTAGCTCAGTGGTCAAGCATGTGCTTATTAGTACGCACAGGCCCTGGGTTCAAACCCCAGCACTAAAAATAAATAATAAAAAATTTAAACCAGTGTATATGATCTGATTACAGTGAAATTAAGTTATAATTTACAATAAAAATGATTTAAAAAAGAAAAAAGGAAAGACCCAGACTGCATCCACTGGACCCTGTGGGCAGACATGGTGGTAAGGCAGACACTAAGCCTTGAGTACCCTGGGACACTTGCTGAACACAGTTGGTCCTGAGTTTCTGTGCCACTGGACCGGTCTTCCCAAGCTAAGAAAATGGTTCAAGCTCCTCTTACCCTGTAGTTTAGAAGTGCATGCGCGCGCACATATGTGTGTGTGTGTGTGGTGTGCATGCATGTTTGTGGAGCACAGTGGAAGCAAAGAAGGAAGCAGTGTACAACAGATTTCTAGGAATGTAAGGGAGGAAAAGGTATGAAGAGATCTTTGTCCTTGAGGTGGGGGAAGAAGGACTGATACTGAGTTCTGAGATCTCTCCACGGAGTAATCAGTGCAATAAAACGTTGCTTTTTCACTGAGTTGTCAAAGGCCAAAGAAACCTCTTCAGGTTCACATTTTCTAACTGAAAACCTCTGCCGTGGCTCCCTAAACCTTGATTAAAATTCAGCAGACAAAGGAGCCCAAAGAGGGAAGCGCAAAGCTGCTGCAGGAGAGGGAGGCGGGGAGGAGCAGCAGCCAGGCTGCGGCAGAGGGCTGGGCCAAACCAGCACACAACCTGGACAAGCCGCTTCTTACCTTCGCCTTTTCACTTGGCTCTATGACGATGCCATTGGTAGAATTATTTAGTTCTCTGGAGACAACACAGAGGAATTCTGCCTGGTCCTCATTTCCATAGTTATAGGAAGATCCAATGCTGATCAGCTGGCAAAAGAAGATGGTGACTAAACAGGCAGTGATGTGAAGATAGTCAAGTGCACCCCTCATACCCTTCCCCGACTGGATTTTGTGGTTTTATTTCTCAAGGACAAAAAACCCTCTGACGGGCTGGGGATGTGGCTCAAGCAGTAGCGCGCTCGCCTGCCATGCGTTCGGCCCGGGTTCGATCCTCAGCACCACATACCAACAATGATGTTGTGTCTGCCGAGAACTAAAAAATAAATATTAAAAATTCTCTCTCTCCTCTCTCACTCTCTCTTTAAAACAAAAACAAAAACAAAAAAACCCTCTGACACTACTGAAGACCTGGGGGTTAACTGCACCAGGACATCATCAAGTAGGCTTCCCCAGAAGAGAAGTCTGAATTCTGTCACTGTTCCCTCACCCTAACACTTGAAATCCTCCTAAAGGCAAACACAATCACTGTCTGTCAAACATGAGGTGAAGAAGAACGTTTCTGTGAATGAAAACGAACACTTGCTTCAGTCAAAACACAGACCGTCGATTTGTAAGTGGTAGTCCTAGACAGGAGGTGGAGGTGCAGAATCACTGAACAGCTCCCCAAAGGTGCACATTGCTGATACTTTAACCCTTTGGAGAAATGAATTCAGTGCCTATTCCTAAATCAGAAATACACATGCAGAGGCAGGAGCTGAGCCCAGGGTGAGGTCATCCTCACAAGTACACACGGCCACAAGATGGAAACTCCTTGCTGTCTGTCTGGGGTGGGGGCACTTCAGTTCCATGTTCAGCTTCCTCTCTAGATCATAGAAGCAAGAACAGATCGTCCCTCCACAGGGCATTAACAAGATGAGGAAGCAACATAAATTATCTATTAGTTTCACAAAAAAACACTCATTTATAATTTTTTTTAAAAAATACAGGGGCTGGGGATATAGCTCAGTTGGTAGAGTGCCTTGTATGCACAGGCCCTGGGTTCAATCCCCAGTACCTCAAAAAAAAAAAAAAAAAAAAAAAAAAAAAAAAAAACCCAAACCAAACAAAAAAAAACATCAGCTTGGCTTAAGACTCTGTATCAGAGCAAATATAGAGAGGGTGGAGGGATAGTCAACCATGCACAGCATTTTGCCATCCATACCTGAGCAAAAGCCAGGCCCACTGATCCTGCAGGGGGAGACAAGGGTGAGGAGCGTCCCAGCACTGGGTCTGAAGCCAGAGGCAGCTCTGCATTTGATCTAGAACACAGATTCTAACTTTTATTTTACAAGGTGAGCTTACAGTGACAGCTCAGGTGGCTTCTTTAACTCTACAAAAAAGTATATTCCCTCTATTCACCCTCAGCCTTCCTGTTTTTGAAGAGGATCGAAGAATTAAACAATTCTGCCATCTAATGGAAGAAAACAGTAAAACTTGACTCAGTAGTTTTGCTCTGATACTCAGACCTGAGCACAAAGCTGAAAGAAACAGCAGAGAGAAGCATGGGCTACAACTAAGTCACACTGGTCAGTGCATCTGATCCCCTCACGGCACCTGCTCACCAAGCACTTATGGGAGAAGATAGGCTTGCTGTTGAACTACCTTCTTTAGGGACTCATTACAGAGCACTTTATTTTTTAAACACTTATTTTTTAGTTGTAGTTGAACAATATCTTTATTTTAACGTGGTGCTGAGGATCGAACCCAGGGCCTCACACATGGTAGGCAAGCTCTCTACTGCTGAGCCACAACCCCAGCCCAACAGAGCACATTTGAAAGAAATCTCTCTGAGGGAAGAAAAACCAAAGGGAATCTCTTTGAAGCCTAGAATAGCTTGCTGGCTCTGTTGGAAATTGTCAAATTCAAACTCTGGATATGAAGCTGGGAGATGTGGCTCTCTCCTCTCCACCCTCCCCAACCCATCACATTATAAGCAAGTAATGGGCACCAAGTAACTCTCTCTTCCCACATTTTGGAATGGATCTCACCGGGCCTTACCCATTTCCCAGGGCCAGCAATTGGTTGGACAGCAATTGAGGAGTTTGTCCCACTGGGTTGAGGTACCAGGATAGCTGTTCTTTGAGAAACATACCTGTTCAAATTTCCAGCCGTCAGACATGGTGGAGACCATCTGTGTGAGCTCTTCCTCTTGGCACTGCAGGACCCTGTACACATGCTTCACGGGGCCCTGCAACAAGCAGGCAGACTGAGCACGGCAGCATAGGGGGCAGCTGCTTGGTGAGGCCTTCAGAGACTCTTGACCACCCTCATCCCACGACCATAGCATTGGGTTCTCAATGAAAACTCACCCAAAGAAAGAAGGGAAAAAGGGACCAAGAACATCAATCAGTGGGTGAACTAGTTCTAACTTGGGAGGGTGAATTATGGGAACAACCATGTTAACAAACTTAAGATTGCATCCATTTCCACAATAACTCTGCATGAGAAAGTCATACTTTTTTTTTTCCCCCTGAAGTGGCTTAAACTGATGTGTATGCTACAAATATAACAGCATATTTTGGTTTATTCAGACCGATGTAAGTGATTATAAGAGTAATATATTAATATAAATATTTGGGGCTGGGGATGTGGCTGGGCTGGGGATGTGGCTCAAGCGGTATCGCCCTCGCCTGGCATGCGTGTGGCCCGGGTTTGATCCTCAGCACCACATATAAACAAAGATGTTGTGTCCGCCAAAAACTAAAAAATAAATATTAAAAAAAAAATTCTTGTCTCTCTCTCTCTCACCTCTCTCTTTAAAAAAAAAAAAAAAAGAAAAAAAAGAAATATTTGATTTTTGTCTTAAATTTCTGGCAGAGCTCCCCAAACCCTTGGAACCTCCTAAATAGTAAGAGTCTTTGGGGGTTAGGGGTGTGGCTCAGTGTAGAGCTCCTGCTTAGCATGCCTGAGGTCCTGGATTCCAACCCCAGCACTTTATAACAAAAACAAAAATGAAACACTACAAAGAGTATTGCATAACTATCATTGACCAAGGTATTAAAAATTTCCTCCCATATAAAGCATATGACAAATCTGCTAAGGATTTCAATTGGCTCTATCCATATACCTGGAAACAATCAGGTATGTGTGTATGCATTTGTGTGCATGCTGGGAATTGAACCCAGGGCCTTACACATGCTAGGCAATTGCTCTACCACTGAGCTATACTCCTAGCCCTTTTTATATTTTGAGACAAACTTTAAGATCAAGCTAAATTGCTCAGGTTGTCCTTGAACTTGTGATTCTCCTGTCTCAGCCTCCAGAGATGTAGAGATTACAGGCATGTACCACCATGCCCAGCCATTCCCCAGTACTTTATATTTTTTTGTTTTGAGATAGGATCTTACTAAATTGCTGAAGCTGGCCTCAAACTTTTGATCCTCCTATCTCAGCCTCTCAAGCTGCTGGAATTATTGGAGTGTGCCATTGCACCCAACTGGCCAGATGATTTGTATTACAAAAATGTTGAGCATCACCAAAGATCTGTGATACTAGCACAATTACCCAAGTCCCAAGTATTTAATATGGCATTATAGTGCCTCTGTTTTTCCTCCTCCAAAGTAAACCACAGGTGCTCCAAAAAGTACCAAGATTAATCACCTACAAACATAACACTAATGACAGAAAAGCAGTTAGAATGGTAGCAGCTGCTAAACAAGCTAAAAAGCCACAAGAGAAAAGGTGGGTTAGAATCCCCACATCTTGGACTTGGCTGGATGCCTGCCATATGTGAGGTGAGGGACTGCAGACAAATTAAAGGAGGTAATGTTTGGAAATCCATACACAGCCAACTTCATCTGAGAACCATGTGCACAAAGGCACAAGAGGGCGTCTTTGAACAACATCAAATCCATTTCTCAGAGAAGAGATGGAAAGATTAACATCAAAAAGGTCTTGACAGTCCCAGAACAAAAAAGCTTCCAACTGATATAAATCTACAAGCCTTTAGGATCTAGGGGACTAATTAACTTAGTTGCTGTCATCAAACAGAAATCTTATAATGCTCCCAAGGAATTAGTTTATGGTAAAGAACAGAGAATGTTCAGATACCATGATTTGAAAACATTCAATATGTAGTTCATATAGTACCCATCAACATTTCTACTAAGAAATCAAGTATTTTTTAGAATGTGGAAAAATAAGGATAAAACTAATTTCCAAAAATGTCTAAGCTATTAAATATCTATGGTAGTAAAAGATACCAGACGTGTACAATGGCAAAGGGACTGGTGACACCAGATTGTGTCTCACATGAACATCTGCAAACCAACTACGAATTCACCTTTGAACATTAACAAGGAACCTTTTAGCAGTCGACCAGATAAGTCTTCTTTCTACCTTTGCAAATAGCCAGAGATAAAGGGGATGAGAGATTTATTTCATTTCTGGGTCACTCCTGCCAGCTTTTATCCAGATATTCCATTTAGAGCCAGAAAATGTTGATATATGAAATCTGACGCAGAAAGAGCAGAGTGCTATTAAAGAGAAACCGACTGCCTTCTTTTTTAACAGCAGAGAAGTCCTAGGCTGCAACAGATTAAATAAAACATCCACCACCAGTAGGTGGTGGGATAAGAGGCAATCGTGCTACAAAGCAGATGGCTGTGGTGGAAAAAAACTCAGCCCCGTTTCTGCAACTCTACAGTTGTTCTTTCTTAAACAAAAGAAAGGGAGGGTTGGTTTCTCCTGCTAGACTTGGGGTCAAGGACCTTCTGTTACACACAGAATCCAAAAGACCTAATAGATCCTGAGTGGCCATACAGACATATGATGAATGACATGAGAAATAACAAGTTAAGTATGCTCTATTATCTCCCCTTCCCTCAAACTTGTGGGAAATTCTGCTTCATTTGTTACCATATATACTGAGTAAATACAAAGATCCAGACATCTTAATAAAAAGAGAGGCTTGAGGGCTGGGATTGTGGCTCAGTGGTAGAGCACTTGCCTAGCATGTGAGAGGCACTGGGTTCAGTCCTCAGCACCACATAAGAATAAATAAATAAAATAAATGTCTATCAATAAAACATTAAAAAATAAGAGAGAAGCTTGAGTATCATTTTCTTGGAAGCATGAGTCATAGCTGATTTCAAGGGACTTGCAGGGGCTAGATGTGACATGCTTACAGGCCAGCAGGTAGAAGCAAGAGATTGTTTAGGCTTTATGTTGAAAGTGATGGATCTTAGGTCAGAGAGAGCAGGCTTTGGACCTAAAATGGCCTTGGCCATATGGCGAGCAGTGACATTTTCTTCTCAAGGGACATGGCTGTTCTGTTTTATTATTCATTCTTTTTGTGCTGAACAACCCTGGCCAAGTAGGCACCATCTGCATAGCAGACGGACAGTGTTCTATACAGACTCTAGCTCTAAGGGAAAAGCCATCCTTTTCAAGTCATAGCCACTCAGACACAGAGAGCCACTGGGGACACTTTCCCCTTAACAGTTCAAAACACCTTACTTGTGAAGTTCTGTTCTCGTTGTCTCGTATCCTTTCCTTAACCAGCCGCACGAGAGAGGCAATGTTGTAAAACTCTGCTTCCTCCAGCACACCTAGAACAAGGACCAGACTGGTCAGAAATATTTGGGCTCACCAGGAAAACAGCAACTAGAGGCTTGCCAAAAACTGCATTTGTCATATATAAATTCAGTCTCTCTCCTTCAGCTTTGGAAATGTCTCTTTGATGTTTAGGGTATACCCACAAACTTTTCCCCAACCAAGTCAAGTACCAGGGACTGCTTTGCTCACTGTTTCACCCCCACTGTTTATGTTTGGCCCCTGCCCATTAGCTACTACAGGACACCTTCCATATGTCACTTAATTCCTGGAACTAGTCACATTGGCCACCTCCTGAGCTTGCAATTTTTACCCAGTTTTCCCTTAAAAGGACTGGCAGATAGGTGTGTATAACCCTATGTGTATTGAATTTAATGGGATGCTTATTATTTTGAATAATATAAAAGGCAATCATTGAAAAACTCTTATTCGAAACAAAATCAAAGGCCTTAGAAAGGAAAACTATCAGATGTATGATCCCATACCAGGAAAAAAAATTTGCTATAGTGGCCATTATTAGAACAGCTGGTAAAAATGAAATATAAACTGCAGATAGAAGTATTTATCTACATTAAATTTCCTAAGTTTCAAAGTAGGGTTATGTGAGAATATCCCTTGTTCTTGGGAAAAACGCACAGAAATATTCAGGGGTAAAGTTTGCAATCAGAAATTTAGAATTATGAGAGGAGAGGAGAAAGAAGAGAAGATGAAAAGAAGAGAGGGGGAGAATGAATGTTAGCATAAATATAATAAGAAATGTTAAAAATCAGTGAATGTAGCCAGCATTGGTGGTGCAGCCTATAATCTCAGAGACCCAGGAGGCTAAGGCAGGGGATTGCAAATTCCAGATCAGCCTGGGCAACTTACTGAGACCCTGTCTTAAAATCAAAAATAAAAAGGGCTGGGCTGGGATTGTGGCTCAGGGGTAGAGCACTTGCCTAGCACGGGCGGGACCCAGGTTTGATTCTCAGCACCACATAAAAAAATAAAGGCATTGTGTTGTGTCCATCTACAAAAAAGATTCATATTTTTTTCTCTCTCTCTCAAAAAAAGAATTATAAAAAAATAATATAAATAAATAAAAAGGGCTGGGGATATAGCTCAGTGGTAGAGTGCCCCTGGGTTCAATCTCCAGCACAGGGGGTATAGGGGGTGTGGATTGGTGAACCTGGGTAAAGAGAGTTTTTTGTACTATTCTTGCCCTTTTTGTAAGTTCAAAATTATTTCAAAAGAGTGTTGTGGTTTTTTTTCTTTTTTTAATTAAAGGCATTAGAAAATGTTAATTAGGAGTTGGTAATTGTTGAAGTTGGATGGCAGGTACATGGAATTTAATGTTATTTTTGAATTTTTTTTTAGTTATAAATGGACACAATACCTTTATTTATTTATTTTTACGTGGTGCTAAGAATTGAACCCAGTGCTTCACATATGCCAGATGAGCTATCTACTACTGAGCCACAACCCCAGCCCAATATACTATTCTACTTCTTCTTCTTCTTCTTGTTTGTTTTTTTGGTACCCGAGATTGAACCCAGAGGTGCTTTTTATTTTATTTTATTTTTTAAATTGTAAGACGGGGTTTCGCCAAATAGCTTAGAGCCTTGCTAAATTGCTGAGACTGGCCTTGAATTTGGATCCTTCTGCCTCACCTGGAATTCCTGGGATTACAGGCTTATGCCACCAAGCCCAGCCTCATTATTTTTGTATGAATTTGAAATGTTTTTCAAAGAAGGACACTTAAAAAAAAACCCCAAAAACCCCAGAATGTTTCCAAATCTCCCCCTACAAGAGAGCAACTCCTCTTTTTATTGCCTGAAATAGAACTGTTTTGCCATCACCTCATTAATGAGTATAGCCATTACAAGCATTCTTACTCAGAGCTCAAGCTCCGACATCAGAGTGCCCTGGATTTAGAAAAGGAACCCAAACTTCAGTTGAATGCCTCCAGTGAGACCAAGCCAAGCCTTTGAGAAAGAGAGCTAGACCCACTTACAGTCTAAATGCTCTACAAATCAAAAAGATGAGGCAACCAATAACATACCTAACAATGAACTGGAGAATGAATTAGGTCAGCCTCAAAAATTTACAGGGAAGCATGAGACCAGAGTTTGAAAAAAAAAAAAATGAGGCCAAGCCTTTATTATTTTTTTACAGCTGCAAGTTCAAACTAAAATTGAAAATATGAATAATTGAATGTTAGAGATGTGGTGCTTCAGGCTATGGACATTCACTTCTAGCTCATAAGTAAATGTAAAAAAGGATTGTGACAATTCTGCAGGCTCAAAAAAAATTCCTGAAGCTATCTTCAAAGCTGAGCTACCTACCTTCCTTCTAACTGAGAAAGCTGAACAAAGCCCTATGGGGCTTCCTTCAACAAGATTCTCTCAAACAAGACTAGGCAACTGGAGGCTTCCTGCTCATTTCATAAACCTGTACACCTGTATATGAGCCCCACAAAAACCTCAAACAAAACTCAAGTCTCTAACAGCCTTAACTGACCTGAATTTTGAAAAATTCAGTGTAAACAGAGCTCTTACCTTCTTCTGCCAACTCCTTGGTAATGATGAGTTTCCCATGGCGGAGGTAGTTTAGGATAGGACCAAAGTAAGTGGGGTCTCTGTCAATCAGATAGGCTCCTGTTTCATCCTGCCAACCAAGCACAAGGGTATCACTAGAACTTTCAGTAACATTTTTAAATTGAGAGGGCTCCTTCTCTTTGCCAGTGCCCTAAGACAATTCAGTTCTTCAGCTAAAAAAAAAAAAAAAAATGTAGCAAGGAGCTGGGGTTGTGGGTTCAGCAGTAGAGCTCTTGCCTAGCACATGACAGGCCCTGGGTCCAATCCTTAGCACCACATAAAAATAAATAAAATAAAGGTATTGTGTCATACAACTACTAAAAAATAAATATAAAAAAATTTAATGAGGACAAATTTTGCTAGACATTTGCTTATTACAAACTATTGGCAAGTAGGCTGGCTTCGTGCATCTTGTGTTTTAAGATCATTTCAGGTCAGATGTCAGAAATGCATAGTCATAGCCATCATCTAGGTGTTTATTTACTGGTTTGAACTTCTACAATCTTTGCTTGGACAATTACCAACATTCTTCAGTGGTATATTATTAAAAAGGAGGAAGAAAACGCTAAGGCTGCATGATTTAAATCTTTGTTTGAGATGGACAGTCTTATTCTTCATTGCCCCCAATTCACATTCCTGATTCTAAGAAAACCTCTGCTCAGCTGGCCACACTCCTGAGCTCCAGGCCAACACCAGTGGGAGTCTTTGCATTGCCAGCTGTAATCTCACACACCCAGAGATCTGTGCCCAGAGGAAGCGTGGTATTGCCAGGACTTGGCTCCAAGCAGCTTTAATCCTACTCATCTTTACAGTAAAAGGAACAAGATGAAACTGGTTTATACAGCCATAAGGAAGATTCGGGATATATAAAAATAATTCCACATAAACAAGAGTTTTGGAATCTTTTTTAAAGTTAGGGCAGGATGGGTTTCCATCAACCTGAGATTTATTAGGAAATGAAATGAAAAATGAAACAAATGAACATTTACGCAATCCCAATTCTGTTACAAGTTAACTGGCTGAGTGCTGTGTAGGATATAAAGTGGTGTAAGTTATTGTCAGTGGCTCTAAGTTGGGAATTAAAGACGAATCTGTAAAAGTTAAAAATATTGATTCAAACAGTTCTAACTGGAAAAGGAAGTGTCTCATAACCTCTCAACCCTTTGGTTAGCAGCCATGCATCTTGTCCAGCAGTATTTCTGGGTCTTCATTTTTACTGTCTTAACCGAGTCAACCTAGATTTGCACCGGATCTCAGGGACCTAAACAGCAACAGTAACCAGGTACAAGTTCTAGGACCAGGACTTTAGGAAAACAGAGTAATATAACAAGAGGGACTTCCTGGAGCGATGGAAGCCACTGTCAGACCCAGGCTTTAACCCGGCTTGGCACGGGGGTCCGGCACGAAGTGTGAGAGAGCTACAGAGCTCCCTTCGCTTGCCCTGACCCAATTCTGGACGAATTTGGCATCAGCAGCGAGGGGCGGAAAGGCAGCCAGGGAAAAACTCGAGAGGCTGGGAGGACAGGGAAGCGGGTGTGGAGCCGGCTCTCGGGTGCGGGTGGGCAGCGTGGGGAAGCGCTGCTGAGAACCAAGGGCGGGGTCGCAGAGAACCGGGGTGTGCCTGAGGATGCGGGAATGGCGCGTCCTCCTGAGGCCTCGGGTGGCCCAGGGGGCGGGAAGGGGGAAGGGGCCCCGGTCTGAGCGCCCTGCCAGTGAGGAGCCTGCCCGGGCAGGACTCGGGAGACCGACTGGAAGCCAGGGAGTCCACAGGCCCGGGGGCGCGCCCGAGGGCGGGGCGCACCTTGTCCGAGTCCAGCTCCGGGTCCTCCTGGCAGCAGAGGCGGCAGAGGAAAGACTTGGGCTCCCGGCCTAGAGTCTGCCTGGTGGTCACGAAGTAGGTGCCGCCCACGTTCAGCCGGACCCAGC